AATTTTTCTGAAGAATTCTGAGGAATTCATCAACCTTGTAGGTCTTAGAATATTCGTTCGATTTTCTCGAAGGCATCTTTCGATTATTTGCTAGGTGAATATTGTTCAAGATTTTTGCGAATGCGTTTCTTGACATCGTTTCAGCGACAACCGATAATCTGAAATTGCTGTCTGACGACCAATATCTCTTATACGATGGTAGCTTATGAAAGCCCATCAGTATATTCAATCCAATCCATGGCTTGATATCAGACATGCTGATCGGAATCCATTTCGTTTTATGTTTCTGTTTTCCATAGATATTCGTCTGTGTGCATATGAGTTTGAAAACTTGGTCAGTGAATAGCAGTTGAAAAGCATCAATAGGACGGAATGCATGGTTGTTCTGGTATGAAACGATTGAGCTGTCATCGAATGATTTCACACGTCTACGAATGTTCTGATTCCAACCTATCTCGCTCATGTCAGTGTCATCATTAAAGCCATGATTACCCTCATCAGAATTATCTGAACATTGAGACAGTTCAAAAGAATTCTCATCTGTTGATTGATGATCATACATATCACCAAAATCTGACGAATCATTCGATTCACTCGAGTTGTTCTGTTCATTCAAATTATTCAACTCGTCCACATCACTTGAATCACCTGGTTTATCTGAATCATTCGACTCATTCGAATCCTCCACTTTACTTGAATCATGCGATTCATTTGCATTGTCCGACTCCGTTGAGCCCTCTAGTTCACTTGAATCACTCGAAACATTCAAATTGTGTGCGTTAGTTGTCATATTTTCTTGTTTTCCTCCAGTGAATCTAGTGAAATCTGACCGGTACTCTCGAAAGATATCCCGTTTTCTTATTTCGGACAGTGGTACGATAACGAGATAGACAAGTACTTACGTAGCAAAAGGTGAAAAATTTCCGATATCGAAGACGTGACGATTCTGTTCCTTATCTACTGTCAAAGCGTCATCTTCGTGACCGTTGATGTGAAAAACTTGATCGGATGGTGGGAGACACCAATAAATGACCACAGACGTCACTAGTCACCAATTCAATCATTCTCTTTGATCAACGTCAGATCACACATAGACAAGTTGTTCATATGCCAAACGACCTCTTAAATGGTAGTCTTCATGCAGGTTTTCCCCTACTGACTTCGTTCTGGTGTTTGACACAAAATACATCAATAATATTTCATGATGTGTCATCATTTCCTATCATCAACAGAAGACAGCTCGTTTTATCGCGTGAACTCTTCTCCCCTTTTACGAACTAGATGGTATTTTCAAAGTCATAGCTCGTATGAATACGCGCGCTAGTATGTTTCTCTATGCTCTAGTCAAAATCAAATTCAAAAATCGTTTTGGGTTCATTGGATATTCGAGAAAAAAAAGCCGTCAAAAAGTGTACATTATTCTGTACACTGGAATCGAAAGGGTTAATACTGTACATATACAAAGAAAGAAAGGACAAAAAAAAGAATGTCCATTGTGAACGAGCTGTAGAAAACAAGAAAAGAACGTGACGTCTTGTGTTTATGGCACGTGCCGCAACAAAGGCGCGTGTGTCCGCGCACACTAGAGTTTAAAACCAAAACGGTTCAGTTAAGAGAGCAACTGTTCATGTCTTGGAAAAATAACTATCTCAAAAAAATGCCATGCAAAAAGTAAGCCAAGCCAAAATAAGTGTACCTAAGACAAAATATTATGCAGAACAACAAAAATTTTAAAAGTGCACGAAATGTCCTTTCCTTTTCGAAACTGTTACTTGTATTTGTGTTGGGTATGTCATGATACTCGATACAACGCCCGATAATGATTTTCTTTAAATAATTCATCCGTCAGACTTTGTTCACACTGTATCCTTGTTGTATCATCTTTCAAACCAAGGAACATGCGATGGCGAACGAGATGAACATTGACCCATTTAATTCTCAGCCACCATGATACGGATTTGACGTTGCTGATTGAAAACCGTTCGGATATGTCTCGTATTACTTCAAATGTATAGCGTTTACGTCGCATTTTGATACTTGTTTTACGACTGCGTCGTTTGCGATCGCGTTCGGTTCGGTACGGTGTCTTATATTCCAATGTCCGTGTGGTTGTGGTTCTTGTGGAGATCGACTGATCATTCAGAACTTGAGCAACCAAAACATCTGTCGAGACTAGCAGACCATCTGGAACATGATCTACCAGGACATCGATCGGTTCTGCAGTTGTTGTGTCTAATTAATTGTTCAAACGTCGCTTCATAGTTTTCGACCTGTTGTTTCTTCCATTCACCTTCAACGATTTACATTAACCTCGTAACCATTAAGTAGTCATACACCGCGTATGTTATCAGGTCCCGTCGGCTCAATTGTTGTTCGTCGTGACAAGTGGCTCGTTGTCGACCTGCTAGCTTGTACGGTATGCATGTTTGTAATTCTGGATCGAGCCCACATGCCCATCGACTTACTGTAAATCGTTTATCAAGGAACGTTCCAAAAATGACAGCAAGTGCTTTCTGAAACGACCAAGGATTGTTGGGATCCCGATAAGCACTAATGTCAATGGAGTGGACGAATGAATTGACTTCGTACTTTGGAACATTGACTATCAACACATCGGGTTCACCTTCGTCCATCATCATCACCATCGGTCGGGCTTGTTATGCGCTGCAATTTGAAAGTTCCAACCAGGTTTATCCTTTGCATACTTGGCTATTTCGTTGGCAGTTAATTGAACCTTTTTGTCCTGTGTCAGATGTTGTAATATTTGATAGGTATATGTCGTTCGATGCGAAGGCAGTGCCCGGTGAATTTTAGTTGACTTGTCCGAATAGTTGTTGATATAGGCTGCTGGTTCTCCTGTAATGAATCGTATTGATCACATGGTTCTCTGATTGTCTGATTCCCAACATGATTCTAAAAGCGGTTCTCGCGAATACGTCCAGCTTTTTTGTCAAGGCTGTGGATAGCACCCACGTTTCGCATCCATATAGTACAATGGACACACATGCAGCATTGAATGGGTGTACCTTGAATTTGACTGTTGGTTTGGGTGATCTTAACATTGGCTTCAGTTTGTTAAATGCCACCCATTCTAGTGCAATTCTCGCATGGACGTCTTTTTCAGTGGATCCCATGTAAGAACCTAGGTATTTGGATTCATCAACAATGGCGATTTTTTGGTCATGACCATCAGATTGTCGGATATTGCTGGATTGTCAGCTTGGTTGAGGCGCATTTGGAATGTCTTCTCAACATTAATTTCTAGATAAAAACTTTTGCAGCATTGATTCTAAGCGCACCCAATTGTTCTTGAGATTTGGTTGAGTTATTTTGTGCAGAATTGCGAATATCATTTCTCTGTCGATTGAATCAAATGCCTTCTTGAAATCGATAAAAGTTATAAATAACGGACAGGTGTCGATGAAGACTCCATCCATTATTCTTCTCAAGATATGTATTTGCTGAGTGCAGCTGCGACCGGTTCGAAAGCCTGCTTGGTTTTTCCTGAGAACTTTATCGATTGGCTCTCGTATGCGATTCAAGAGTATACGGTTGTATACTTTAGCTGCTATGGTGTGAGCGATGGTCTCACTAAATTGGAGCTAATATTAAGCAGCTTGTTGCTGGAAGCTGAATTCCCTTTTATTAAAAAACTTAAAAAAGAGATGAAAATGGACAAACACAAAACGAATAACAAGTGACGATGTTTCCACCAGTATCGAGTTTTTGCAATATCATGATAAATATCTTGTTTAACGCGATAACTTCACTATCGAGATCTATAGGCCTACTTCGATATATCATGCTGTATAGGTTGCAGAGGTGGGATCGGTTCGTGTTTGTCTGAAATCGAACCGGACCGAACCGATCAATTTTTTTATATGTACATGAAGTTGGAATAAAACGTAAAATTCTTTGTCTTTATCATTCAAACATTCCTCACTTTAGTTCCTTGCTTCCGTGAGTATTCCTTCTCTTCGGAAATGTTT